AACATACCTGCCAGAAGCTCAGCTTTAGACCATAAGAGAGGGTTGTTTGTTTTGCCTTTTGTCCTATTTTGTCCTTTTGTACGTGTAAGGCTTGGGAATGTCTTTGGATTTCGTAAACCTGCCTTCAAGATTGAATAATATTTGATTACCGCCTTTTCAAGCTTCGATTAGCAGACCTGTACGAAGTCCAAGCCGTTTCACAGTTCAGCCTGACAGCAGTGTTCCATAGCCTGGAACTGCGTGAGATCAGGCGCACTAGATATGCAGGTAGGAAAGGCGAACCGGATAGATTTTTACGCATGGGAACGACCCTATTGATGACGCCATTCAATATTGCAAGAAACATTTCAATTTGAGCCGTGTTGAATACTGCAGGCAGTTTGCCTTATGGCAGCCTGCAGCGATAAAAAGATTCCCGCTAGCAGCCAGTCACAGGTTGCTATTGTTTCTATATCTCTAGCTCCGTCACTCATCACCAGAGATATAAACGGATGCATAGTTTGGTGAAACGCTACAATTGAGTCAGTGCGCCTTGGCGGGAAACCGGGGAAAAAGTGGCTGGACTTTTCGCAAAACCTTTGCTGACATGAAACCAGCGCACCGTTGATTTTGTAGAATATGCTTGTGAAAATCCAAATTATGTGCAGAAGACAGATTGAGCGAAGTCTCTAGTAATGTCAACGCCTCTCTTCCTGAGCAACAGAACAGGCGTACTTTTCCCCACTCTCTGAAAGCTGCATTATTACAAGTGCGGGTATTTCAGCATGGTCAAGAACTCAGTTCTGATAGGGTATTGTGAATTAGTGCCTTCTATAGGTGGTGACTCGTACGAAGACGTGGCTGTTAGTTGATGCAGAAGTCACAGATGCCAATTAATAGACCCTAACTTTTGTTCGAAATATAGTCACTATTCTGTCACAACGTCGAAAGAGTGTTAACTGGTTCCTACAGCTGACGCAGATACAGAGGACTTTGCGAATGCTCTTCACGGTTTTTGCTATTTCTACGTAACCGCCCTTTCCCTCTTCATAGTCTTTTTCTATCGCTTCTTTGCAAAGTTTCATTTTCTCGATTGTCTTCGTAGTATTTTCCTTGTCTATTTTCTTGTCTGCGTATTTGAGGCAGACGGGGAACGTCGTATTGTTTTTGCAGTCCATGGCATCTTAAAGAAGCTCCTGTTTTAGCAGCAAATGAGCAGTCAGCATGAACGTTGAAGAAGAGGAGCGATGACAATGGAGGTGTTGTGACTTCTGTGACCTTCACCCAGCTTTGATTAAAATTTTTAGATCAAAGATGACGGCATTTCTGCTTAAAACATTCAGCCACTCAATGATGCATCGCATTCAAGAACACTGACTCATTAAAAAAATTTTCATACTTATTGAAGCGAATATTGTGAATTCGTCAAAAATACATCACTAAAAATAAAAAGGAAGTTCTGGTCAGGCCCTTTTAGTATACATTTTTTAAGCAAGCAAAGGATAAGGAAATGAGAGTAGGGAGAAAGAAAAGAGATGAAGAGAAGAAGAAACAGAACACGATTCGTTTCGCCTCCAATTTAGACGAATCATGTTGAGACGCTATTCCTCGGGGCTTTTATAACAACATGAAGTTAAAATGGGGCGCCACTCAGTAGTTAACAGTATGGGTATATATTAAAGGGAGTTGTATTGTCAAAGGATGAAAGTTTAAGAAGACAGCTGTTATATAGCCCTAAGTAAAAGTTTTATAGGCCAAGCTACTAACTAAATCTTCAAAAACTTATGAAGTGCTTGAAATCACTATTAATAGAGTATATTTATAAAATATAAACTTATTCCTATATAAGCTGGCATGCCATGATCGACTACTATGGTCTCAGCGGCTTCTGTACGTTACCAGGAAATCGTCCGTTGCCATTATTGGGATAAAGCGCCTCAGTTACATGACATCAGATTATGATACTCAAGAAAGAGAAGTCGCTATGGTTGTTTGTATTCACGTTGAGAAGGCTATACTGTTCCTTTGAAAAACGGTATAGCCCCTCGAAGTGAATGCAAACAACCATAGGCGACTTCCCTTTCTTTCTCTTTCCCTTTCTTCCTTCCTTCCTAGAATGCGGTAAGCAGGAAGATGATCCTCGTTTGAAGTGTTGGTTTGGAGCGCTAGCCCGAGATTTCAGAAGATATTCTTCTTGCTGACCTGCAGTCAACGGCACAGTTTGGAACATTCCACCAACTAACGGGAGAAGCATTCTTAATTATTTGTTATTCTTGACAGATAGAGCTTCGCGTCATGAACTTTCTCTTCGCTTCTCGAAGGAGAAAACGGGAATGATGTAGCATGCTGTAATGCCCAGTATTTCAATCGCAAAAGTTCTCAGGGGTTCGCCAGTTTTCCGGTTCCACTTCTCGGTGTGATCACAAGGTTCCAAGAAGAGTACTAAGTTCTCGAACCCTGGTGCGGTGTAATTTTTAGTAATTGATCTGTGAGTTCCGTGCTGAGGTCTCATGCAGGTGTGCCCGTTTGCCATTTCTGGAGTCAAGCAGTCTAGCCACCAACGGTTTGAGAAAGCCTTAACACCAGCAGCTCAC